CCACTCCCGCTGTGCCTGCAGGCCCCCGCTCCGGGGCTCAGCCTGTCAGCCCCGGCAGCCTTACCCTAACTGGGACCCGACGCCCACCGAGCTGTAGGCCCAGGCCCTCTGGCTCTCTCTCACCCTCTGGGCCAGCAGGCTGGTCAGGGCGGGGAAGAAGACGCCTGCAAAAGCAGAGGATGCGGTGGTGTGGGGCGGGCGGGGCGGGCGCCGCGGCAGGGGCTGGAATCCAGGGCACTGCGTGTCCCACACATCCAGACTTGGCTACGGCCGCATGGTGGCCGTGAGGAAGACCCCTGCCCCATGCCCACCCCGGCCAGCCGCGCTCCGCAGGCCTCACGCTGACACGCGCACAGTCCTCCCACACAGCAGCTTCGCACCTGCCCCATGCACGTGTGCCTCACGCACGCGCCTGCCCCAGGAGCCTGTGCGTATCACGTGCACACAGCTTCCCTGGGATAAGTATGTACATGCACACACGCACACACTCCCCAGGAGTGTGCCACTACCTGTATTTTTCTAGACAGTTTCCTCCTAAGAATTCCTTTGGAACATGGCTTTCTTCAAATCTTAAAAAATGGTATCATGACCTCATGTTCTTTCCCATTCTGGGAAGTTCTAGAGTCCCACTCCAGAGGACCTCTGCCCACTCCCCCTGGAATCTCCTCGCGAGGTGTCTGGTAACGGGACCGCTCTGCCCGCCCCCCTGCCCCAGGTCAGAGCCTCTCCAGGGTCAAGTGCCCCTGAGGCAGGAGAGCCCCACGACAGAGAGCCGCAGCCCTGGTGGCCCTGCGCGGGCAGCCGCCGCCTGGCTGTGCCCCAGCCCCCAGCAGACGTTTGGCAGAGGGCAGCAGGCAGCCACGCGGGCTTCCACACACGCCCCCACATCTGCCCAGCACCCCCCCCCGTCTGCCCACCTGCAGAGGAGCTGCGTGCCAGCGGCCTCCAGGACACGCTCTTACCTTGGAGCAGACCTGTGAGGATGCGCGAGGTCACGATGACCAGGTGGGCGCTGCCTAGGCGGGCGAGCCACGGGGTGGCAGCAGTGACAGAGCCCCAGGTGGAGGCGGAAGCAAGATGACCACCTCACCCCCACAGCTGGCAGGACACAGGGCGGTGGGGCGGCTTTGCCGGTGGCCACCTGTGCAGACCCCCGGGGTGGATGCGTAGTAACCCCACGCCACAAAGGAGGGGCCCACAGCCGGGCCCGCGAGGCCGAGGCTGGTCCGTGTGTCCCTGTGCCTCCGTGGCCGCACCCCACCTCAAGACTCGGGGTGCTCTCTTCTGACCCAGGGCCAGGCCCGGTTTCCCCATTGACAGCATGTGTCTTCCTCTGCGAAGGGCATCTCCCCAGAGATCTGCTGAGTTCCTTCCCCAAGGGTCCCTCCTCCTCCTGTGCCAGCCCCCCTCCAGCCTGGCGTGGGGCCCCCAGGGAGGTTGCCGGTCCCCCTGGTGGCCGCCCACCGCCTGCGCCAGGCAGTAGCCCCAGAAGAAGCTGCGGAGCACAATGCCGGCCTCCCTCTTGTTCCAGCCGAAGTCCTGGCTCATGCGACCGCACAGACGGGCAGAGACGGGCGTGCAGTATAGCAGGGAGGTGCCCAGCAGAAGCATGCCCATCCATGCCTGGCACTCAGGCCCGCCAGAGAGAGGAGAGCAGGACCTTGAGAGGCCTGCAATGCCCTTGGCTGTGCAGACCCTTCCCGAGGCCAGGGACACGCTCACACCCAGGAAAACCCTCTCGTTGGGAATCTTGGCAGCTTGTAAACATCCAGACCCATCTGACTCCTGGAACTTGGCAGGTGCCAGACGGGTCACAGAAGAGGCTGGAAATGCCTCTCGAGCCCTCTCAAGGGGCGGTGAAGCAGGTGACACCCGCTACGCTGCGGGGTTCAGCCACAGTGATGGGGTGGGGCTGCGGTGGAGGGGCTTGGCCTTCCGCCTAGAGTGAGTGAAACCTGGGGCCACAGTGTCCCCTGGTCTGCCCTGACCAGGCAAGGGAGGGGCAGCAAGGGAGCCCGCCTCACAGTCACTTCAGAGCACCCCTGGGGTCCCCATAGAGAGGAGGAGGAGCCTGGAGGGTTCAGAGGTCAGAGGTCCCAGGCTTGCTCTTGAACCTTTCACTTCCCAAGGCAATGTCCTCACAAACGCTCAGGGGACATGCACGCACACACACGCTCATCCTCAGCATGACAGTGGTTGTTCTCAATACAAAAGTAGTGCACAGGGCTGAGGAGGTGGCTCAGTGGTAGAGTGCTTGCCTTGCATGCATGAGGCCCTGGGTTCGATTCCTCAGTACCACAGAAACAGAAAAAGCCAGACATGGCACTGTATCTCAAGTGGTAGAGTGCTAGCCTTGAGCAAAAGAAGCTCAGGGACAGTGCCCAGGCCCTGAGTTCAAGCTCCAGTACTGGGGGAAAAAATAAATGCACACTTGTTGTGGGAAAAACAGATAATTTGGAGAAATGCAGAGAAAATGGGACTCACTGGACTTGGTCCAACCTCTATGGCCATCCATGTGGCCGCCCTTCCACGTGTCCTGTCCACTGTATCCATCCATGTGGCCGCCCTTCCACGCCTCCTGTCCAGACCGAGGCCACAGAGTCCTCCAGTGCACATGCAGTTTTGATGGAGGTGTCACTTCATGATAGGAGTGTCCTTGTCCTGAGGCCTGGCCCACCCTGGGTCACTGAGTCCTTCATTGTCCCCCACTACCAGGGGGATCCCACTGGGGGAGCCGAGGCTGGGGTCAGTCCAAATAGGCTAACGGGAACCTGTCCTCTGTCTGTCTCTGCTCAGGCTACTGAGCCATCACGGTGTGGAAGTTCATGCAGGTAGGGAAATCACTGGACCTGTTCTCTCTAGACATGCATCTGATCACTACCCAAATCACGCGATCCCTGGGACTGTGTGCTGGGAAAGCTGCAGGTACTGCAGGGAGCCGTCCTCGGGCTCCAGCCGGCACCCGCCAGGCGTGAGCGGCGTTGTCCCAAGACGGCAGGCCTGTAGGGCTTTAAGACCACTGGAGAGGCCGTGCTGCTGCACCCGGAGCGGGGAGTGGCAGGGTGGGGCTGCTGGTGGGTGCTCCGAAGCCGTGTGGGAGGCTTGCTCTCCACAGAGGCTCTGCCGTCCAGGCCAGGGCACTCAAGGGGAGTCTCCCACGTCGCACCCCCCGCCGGCTCTTCTTGGAGCCTTCTCCCCAATGGCCTGAGGAGGTCTGCCTGGCAAGGGCGTCTGGATGAGGCAGGCCTGACCCTTGGTCAGTGTACCGGATGGCCACGGGGTGGACGGAGCCAGGATGGGCCGTGTTGGCCTGTGCTGGGGCCCCTCACAGGCCTCTCCCCCGGTGATGGGTCTTGGCCTGTCAAGCATGTCCGCCCTGTGTCTGGGTCACTCAGGAGCTTTCCCAAGGCTGTATTCTTCACATCAGCTGCCATCAGCCTCCAGATCTTCAACCACAGGTTGCTGGGGGAGGGGCGGCGCGAGCCTGTGGGGACAGGGCAGGTTCAGGAGCCGCCCGCCCCAGCCTGGCTGCCCCGCCCCAGCCTGGATTCTGGGACACCTCCTCTGACCTGGCTCTCCCGCTCTGTGTGGCCAGGCCACCACTGCATCTAGCTGTCCCTGAGGTGTGAAGGCCCCGGTGACCCAGAGCTGCTTCAACCACTGCAAACCGAGGCTCAGGGGCAGCTCTGGGGCTATGCCTGGCGTGGGGCAGGGAGTGGGGGCAGGGTGCGTGGGGCAGGGTGTGCGGGGTACAAAGTGGAGGGTGCACCACAGCCAGAGGGGCCGGCCGCGCGCTTCTGTGACAGACAGGGCCCCCCGGGGTCCGGGGCTGCAGGAGGGGAGGGGCAGGCCCAGGGCCACGCCCCTACTTTCTCTCCTGTTTCCCACATGGCATTTCCGTTCACATCCAGGACTTGGCCCCATCCTGTGTGGCTTTCTGTTTGGTGAGGCCGGGCTCACCCCCCCCGCCACACCCTGGGGGGCTGACCCCAGGTGGGCCAAGGCCGGGCTGCGGGGGCTGGGGGCAGCCTCTCCGTCCCTAGCCGCTCTGGTCTGTTCACAGGTGTGGCCAACACCGCGGGGGCCTGGCAGGTGTGCGTGAGCCCCTCTGAAGCCAGGCTTCGTCCTCTGCCTGCTGGCTTTGCGTTCACTGCAAACCCGTTTGCGGCCCGAGTGCAGGCCTGGGCCTCACTCTCTGCCTGCCCAGTTCTGCAAGGTTGAGGCCCAGCACAGCATCCAGGGGGCCCAGTGTCGGGGCAGAGCGTGAACCCCAGGCCGGCTGGGGGGGCACATGCTCTCACAGTGCGCTCTGCGGAGGAGCCACCCGGCTAGGAGCCACGCTCTCTCCTGACCCCCAGATGCATGTCAGTCCCATAGTTTAGGGGCCTCCGCCGCGTGCTGGGGGCAGGGGCCCCCTCTTCACCTCTGTACCTGCCCATGCTCTCAGTTTCCCCTTGGAAGGACCTGGGAGATCATTTTCAGTTACCTGTGAAGTCTGTTGTCTAAGATGACCTTCCTTGGTTCAGCAGCTCAGACGCACAGATTCACACTGGGGGTCGGGGGCGGGTGTGGCGGAGCTGCCCTTCCTGGCTGCACAGAACGCTCGGCTGCCCCTCTCCCGGGTCCAGGTGTCATCGGTGTGTCTGGGCGGCCACCTGACCGAGGCCACGGGCTCCTGGACCTGTGTGTTCAACCTGGTGGCCGTCATCAGCAACCTGGGGCTGGGCACCGTCCTGGTGTTTGGACAGGCCGGGAAAGTGGACCTGAGCTCCCCCGGGAAGATGTGTAGCTCCCCGCCTGCCCAGAATCCTGCCGTCCTCGGCCTCGGGGACTCCGTTTGGGAGACTCCGTGGGTGTGAGCAGAGGATCGGTCCACAGCAGGGTGGACTCGATGATGGAGGGGGAGCCAAGGCCGAGGCCAGTGCCATGCAGACAGCCTGGGTCAGGATGGAGCTCATCGCCTCTCCGAGCCTCCGTTTCCCCCCTTGCCCGTGAGCTGGTCATACTTCCTTGCCAGTGTTGGCGTGAGTGCGACCACGGTCAGCCCCACAGCGGGAGCTCACAGGTGCCGCGGCAGGGGAGCGGAGTCCCTGCCCCTCAGCCAGCTGGTCCCTCTGTGGTGGGACAGGATGAGCGCTGTGGGGCACCTTCCAGGGCGTCCACCCTCCTGTCTGGTCATGATGTCTGCAGACACTGCCCAGTGTTAGGAGGAGAGCCCTACACACACGCTGCCACCTTCTCCAGAGCGTGGTGCTCCGTGAGCCCGGGCCTCTGCTGCCGCCCATCCTGATGGTGGGCTGTGGCTGGAGGCTCTGCCCACCTCTGGAGCCCTGCCCCACCCAGCGGGTGCTCCCGGTATGCGGGTGCATCCTGGGCAGGCAGCTGTGAGACCCACAGCCCCTGCCAAGCCTGTGTCTGCCCGCCCCGTGTGGAGCAAAAGGATCCCTCCTTTCAGGCCCGATCTCTCCACCTCTCTTTTTGTAACAGTAGGAGCCGGTGGGATCCTGCGTTCTGCAGGAGTTCTACTACAAAAAAAAACAACAACTGTAAAGATATGGAAAAAAGCACACCACAGCTTGTTTAACTGATTGCTGCCAAACCATTAAAAAGATGTGGTTTAACACCACCTTTGTTTTCTGAGTGAATGTGTGGTAAAGAAGTTGTAGGCCGGGCGCCGGTGGCTCTCGCCTGCCATCCCAGCTACTCAGGAGGCTGAGATCTGAGGCTCACAGTTCAAAGCCAGTCCCAACAGGAAAAGTCCATGAACCGCCTATCTCCAGTTAACCACCAGAAAACTGGAAGTGGCGCTGTGGCTCAAGTGGTAGAGCACTGGCCTTGAGCTGAAGAGCTGAGGGACAGCACCCAGGCCCAGAGTTCAAGCCCCACACAGACAAAAAAAAAAGAACAAAGAACAAAGAAGTTATAGAACTGGTTCACAGGGAGGCCAGGCAGGGGGAGAATCGCAGGGATGATTCACAGGCCAGGAGCCCAGCGAGGCCCAGAGGCCCAGGCTGAGTTCTCAGCCCTCCAGGAGCAGCCAAAGAGCCATTGCGTAGACAGAAAACCCAGTCTGCAGGGAGGGCCGTGGAAAACCAGCCCTCCCCGCCCCAACCTGGAGCCAAGGCAGATACCCACACAGGCATGCAACTGTCCCGTTTATTGAAAATCCTTCCGGTTTTGATTTTTTATGAAATCTCAAAGGAGGAACTGGCCCTGGCCTCGCTGAGTGGGGCCTGGCTACATCTGCTGGGCTCCAGAAGGCTCCACAGCCAAGCCCCCAACCTCCCCTCCTGTGGGTTCCGGGGGAGAGGCTGCCTCTGAGTCAGTACCTCTCCCTCTGCCTCTCCCTCCTCCTCCTCTACCTCCTCCTTGTCATCTATTTCCTCCTCCTCCTCCTCCTCCACTTCCTCTTCTATCTCCTCTTCCTCCCCCTCCTGCTCCTCCCC